GCGAACATCGTCAGTGGCATGTGGATCTTCAGGGTGAAGCGGCCACCGGGCTCGCCGCCTGTCTTCAAGGCGCGTTACGTGGCTCGTGGCTTCAGTCAGCGGCAGGGAGTTGACTACTTTCAGACCTTCTCTCCCACCCCGAAGATGACCACTCTTCGGGTGCTGCTGCACATTGCCGCTCAGCGCGACTACGAGCTTCACTCTCTCGACTTCAGCACTGCGTTCCTGCAGGGTAGCCTGCACGAGGAGATCTGGCTGCGCCGTCCGCCTGGCTTCACTGGGACTTTCCCTCCTGGCACCCAGTGGAGCCTCCGACGGCCAGTCTACGGTCTCCGCCAGGCACCGCGTGAGTGGCACGACACACTGAGGACTACGCTTGCGGCTCTTGGGTTTGCTCCTTCTACTGCTGACCCGTCGCTGTTTCTTCGCACCGACACTTCCCTGCCGCCGTTCTACATCCTCGTGTACGTCGACGACTTGGTCTTTGCCACAGCGGACACTGCTGGACTAGCCTACGTGAAGTCCGAGCTGCTGAAGAGACACACGTGCACAGACCTGGGTGAACTGCGCAGCTACCTTGGCTTGCAGATCACTCGGGACAGAGCACGCCGCACCATTACCCTGACTCAGTCACACATGGTGCAGCAGGTCCTTCAGCGCTTCGGCTTCACGTACTCCTCGCCTCAGGCCACTCCTCTGCCTACTCGCCACTCACTCTCAGCTCTGCCTTCGGATGAGTCCGTAGAGTCGAGTGGTCCGTATGCAGAGCTTGTTGGCTGCCTCATGTACCTGATGACCTGCACACGACCTGACCTTGCATACCCTCTGAGCATCCTTGCACGCTATGTTGCTCCTGGGAGACACCGACCAGAGCACATGGCTGCAGCGAAGAGGGTATTGCGCTACCTGTGCAGTACGTCGGGCATGGGGCTAGTGCTTGGAGGGCGGAGTCCAGTGGTCCTTACTGGGCACGCAGACGCTTCTTGGGCTGACGACCAGGCTACGCAGCGGTCGTCACAGGGTTACACCTTCAGCCTTGGTTCCGGCTCTGTCTCGTGGCGGTCTACTCGCTCGTCTTCGGTTCTCGGCTCCAGTTGTGAGGCTGAGATCTACGCCGGGGCCATGGCTGCACAGGAGCTTCGCTGGCTCACCTACCTGCTGACTGACCTTGGAGAGCTGCCTCGTTCTCCTCCAGTGCTGTACGTAGACAACAAGGCCATGTTGGCCTTGTGTCGAGAGCAGCGCTTGGAGCACAGAACGAAGCACATTGCTCTCCGCTACTTCCTTGCTCGTGAGCTGCAGCAGCGTGGTCAGTTGGGACTTGCTTACGTGGCCTCTGAGGCCAACACTGCTGATGTGTTCACCAAGGCACTTGCGCCTTGCGACCATCAGCGCTTTTGTACCCAGCTGGGTCTTGTACCTGTCTTGCCTCACTTGCTCTCTTCTTGACTTTACTTGTACTTTGACATATATATACCTGCTCTTGCTAGTCTAGTTTTATATATATGTCTGTACTCCTGCATGTGAACTGGCCTCTGGCCTTGCTCTTGTGCTCGGACTGTGTGGTGACTTTGTGATCCACCCTGAGCTTGCTTTGCTTTGCTTGACTGGTCTTGTGACCCCTTGTTCTCCCCCACTTTGCCTATGGGGGTGTGTCAGATTATTATAGCTGATGCATGTTTGTAGGCTATAGTGGGGTAGCACATATGGGGTACAGTTTGCTAGGGTTGTATTTGTACCCAACTCTGACTTAGTCAATTCATTCCTGTTCATTCCTTTCACACCTCCTCCGTCTCCTTGTGCTGCAGCTGCCGCTGAGGGGGGGTGGACTTGTTGGAGCCGGTGGAGTGGTGCTAAGGGGGGGTGAAAGGGGAGTGGAGCTAGGGGTGGAGCAGTGGGTGTATGAGAGGGGTGTTGGGCAGCTGGGGGAGGTTGAGTGGAGGCAGCAGTCTTGTCGTCAGCAGCAGCAGCAGTCCGGAGGCTACAGTCTCCGGTAGTCGCCAGTCGCCCGAGGGTCCGTTGCTCGTCTGCCGCTACTTTTAGCCGCGGGGCCAGTTACTCCAGTAGTCCAGAGCGCTGTTCCGGTAGCCACTAAGCCAGCAGCTCGTCTGTGTGTCTGCAGCGTCAGCAGTCGCCTCCCATCTTCTCTCCCCCATAGTCCCTCCTCCTCCACACATGCCCTCTGCGATAGCCTCTAGCTTTGCTCTTAATTGTGAACTTTAAACTATTGCTTCTTGAACTAGTGCTTTGAATGTGTGGTGACATTGTGATCCACCCTGAGCTTGTACTGCTTTGCTTGCTCTGCTGATTACACCCCACTTTGGCTATGGGGGTGTGTCAGAATGTTATCTTTGTTCTCTAGCTTGCAGTGGGGTACTCTATAGCGAGTACAACCCCTTAGGGTTTCCTATATGTATCTTGCTGCTTGCTAGTGCAACCCCTCTTCTTTCTTCTAAACGTTGACACGTCAAGCCGGACACGATGAGTAAGAATTTTGGAAGGGTCAAGGGTCGGCTCCGGGACAGGTCGAACTGTCGGGGCCGCTTGCTGACGCGCGATGTCGGTCGATGCAGGCACGAACTTCCGAAGAAGGCTGATGTGGAAGGGATCATGGATACGCCAATCGTCGGGTAGCAACAGCTTCGCGGTGACAGGTGTCACCATCTTGAGAATCTTGAACGGCCCGCAAAACCGTGGCCGTAGTTTCGATGGACCGGACCGGTTCAGGTTCTTCGTGTCAAGAAGCACTAGTTGCCCAGCTGTCAAGACGAGTTCCCGTCGTAGAAGGTTGGTGTCTTCGCGGGAAGTAATATTCGCCTTGCGAATTGCGTCTGCGGCTTTTTCTCGGACTTCCTGGAGTCCGTCACGAAAGTCTGTGACCTCGGGACTGGATTGTCGAGAGTAGTTGTCTTTGGAACTGTCGGATCCATCCCGTAATTCAAAAAAAATGGGGAGTGATTAGTCGTGCTAGACGGTGCGTTGTTGAAAGCAAATTCCAACATCGCTAGCGAGTCTTCCCAGCGGGTAGGGTCGGGGCAGTTTGTCCTGATTAACTGCTCCATGGTCTGGTTGGTCCGCTCGGTTTGACCGTCCGTCTGTGGGTGGTATGCCGATGAGAACTGTAGCTTCGTGCCGTACTGCGCCCATGTCTCCTTCCAGAACTTGGATGTGAACTTTGGGTCGCGGTCGCTGATGATCGCCGAAGGGATGCCGTGCAGTTGCATGACCGTTGAGATGAAAAGGCGCGCAGTTTCTTCGGCTGTGATTGTCGTTCGGCATGGTGCGAAGTGCGCCATTTTCATGAAGCGATCGACGACGACGAGAACAGCGTCGTTGCCTGTCGGCCCAGCTGGCATCCCCGTGACGAAATCCATCGTCACTTGCTGCCACGGTCATTCGGGTGGCTCGAGGGGTTGCACCAGCCCAGCTGGTCGCTGACGTGTCGACTTCATTGCTTGGCACACCTTGCATGAGGACACATAGCGCTGCACGTCGTTAGATGAATCAGGCCAGTAATATTGACGGTGCAGTAGTTTCTGGGTCTTATCAATCCCGAAATGTGTGGAGAGGTTCGAATCGTGGATCTTCTGGATGAGGAGTTCACGCAGCAATCGGTAAGCGGGAACCCAAATCCGGTCGGTTTCGGCTTTTAGGTAATAATTCCCGTTCTGTGTCGTAGCCTGCTGATGATTTCCCGTGGTGAAGAATGGGTGTGTCGTGTAGCCGTGGGTAAATAGTCCAGTAAGTAACGGGTTGGAGTAGGTGATGAGTACTGCAGGGGATTGTACAGTCGGTCGGGTCAGGGCGTCGGCGATGTTATTAGCCCCTTTTTTGTATGTGATGCGGTAGGTTAAGCGGCTCTCCATGTAGTCTAGCCACCAAATCTGTCGTGGGTTGAGGTTGGGTTGGGCTCGCAGGTACTGTAGGGACTTGTGGTCCGTGCGAACAGTAACGTCGGCGCCCACCAGGTAGCATCGCCATAATTTAAACACATGTATGATGGCGAGCATCTCCTTGTCGTGGATCGGGTAGTTGCGTTCGGCTGCCTGCAGCTTGCGTGATTCGTAGGCTATCGGCTGCAACCCGTTCCCAAAGTCTTGGAGAAGCACAGCTCCGATGGCGAAATCTGAGGCGTCGGTTACAACTTCGAACCGCTTCGATGGGTCGGCGATGCGCAACACAGGAGGGGAAACGAGGAAATTCTTGAGTTCCTGGAAAGCCGCTTTTGCCTCCTCCCCCCACACAAAATTCTTGTCCTTGTGCAGCAGGTCGGTCAGCGGGCCGGTTATCCCCGCCATATTCGGGATAAACCGACGGATGTAATTCACGAATCCAAGGAAACTCTTGAGCTCCGTGACGTTCGTCGAGGACTTCTGTCAGATTTGTATTACATAGCTGTTGTAGGCTATAGTGGGGTAGCACATATGGGGTACAGCTTTCTAGGGTTGTATTTGTACCCAACTTTCACTTAGTCATGTCATTCTCGTTTCAGTTTTCTCATGGTATCGAGCAGGTTCCCTAGTGGGAACTGTGCCTAGGGCCCACCAAGTCGATTTTTTTTTTTTTTCCTACCCGGAGCGCGCTCAGCCCGAGTCGCGCTCCTCTCTCTCATCTCGTCGAGCCGCCCAAGCGGCACCATCGCCATAGCGGCCCCATCGCCCTAGAGGCCCCGTCGCCTAGCCCTACGGCCCCGTCCCCCTAGCCCTACAGCCTCGGCGCCGCCCTGTCCCGGCCCCGCCGCCCTTCGCTGCGGCCCCGCCGCCCTTCGCTGCGGCCGCGCCGCCCTTCGCTGCGCCCCCGCCGCCCTTCGCTGCGGCCCCGCCGATCATCGCTGCGGCCCCGCCGCCCTTCATTGCGGCCCCGCCGCCCTTCACTGCGGCCCCGCCACCCTTCGCTGCGGCCCGCCGCCCTTAGCTGCGGCCCCGCCGCCCTTCGCTGCGGCCCCGCCGCCCTTCTCTGCGGCCCCGCCGCCCTTCGCTGCGGCCCCGCCGCCCCTCTCGTTATGGCCCCGCTGCCCCTCTCACTGCGGCCCCACCACCTACCTTGCGGCCCTGCCGCCCTACCAGCGGCCCTGCCGCCCTACGCCACCGAGCCGCCCGCACCGCTACGCAGCCCGAGCCGCCCGTTCCGCCCGAGCCGCCCGAACCGCCCGAGCCAACCAAGCCGCCCAAGCCGCCCGAGCCGCCTGAGCCGCCCGACCCGCCCGAGCCGCCCGAGCCGCCAAAGGCGCCCGAGCCGCCTAAGCCGCTGAGGAGCCGAGCCGCTGGTGCCGCAGAGCTGCTGTGCTGCTGAGCTGCCCGAACCGCCCTGTCTGGTGAGAGCAGCGCTTTTGTCACTGCAATGCCCCTGTCCTACAGTTGGTACTGCTAGTCTACTGCTGTCATGGCTACCCCCAGTGTTCTCGCTTTTGACGCTGAGGGTCGACCATTGACTTTGAGGTCTGGGTAGATGACCTGCAGCTATTTCTACAGTGCGATAGGGCAGACGGTCTCTCCCTCTTTGACCTCACCTCTGCCGCCTCTCCTGCCCCTGCTGCTGACGCTGACGCCACTGTTCGCTCCCAGTGGGCCACGCGCGATGCTGCTGCACGTCTTGCTGTGCGTCGCCACCTGCCTACCACTGACCGCGCGCACTTTAGTTAGTACAAGAGTGCTCAGACCTTGTACGACGCCGTAGTTGCGCGCTACTCTTCCCTTGCCACTGCTGCACTGAGCCGCCTCATGCTACCATACCTCTTCCCTGACCTTGCTGCCTTTCCCACAGTCGCTGACCTCATTACGCACCTCCGCACTAGTGACACTACCTACCGCGCTGCGCTTCCTGCTGAGTTCTGCGCCAAGAACCCCCCCCCCCCCCCCCATGTACATCACTCTCTATTACATAGTCACCCAGCTCCCTAACTCCCTTCATGTAGTCAGGGACCACTTCCTCTCAGTCTGTCCCACCACTCTTACTGTTGACCTCTTAGAGAAGGCCCTCCTACCAGCGGAGAAGAGCATAGTCACTGTAGGAGCCTCTCGTGGTGACCCTCGCACCCCCATCTTTGAGGGGTGTTCTCCTTCCCCCCTTTTGCCCTCTGTCGCCTCTGCCGCTCCGGCCGACCTCGTTGGTCTTGAGTCGGTCGGTGCGGCGTCTGCCCCTTGCGGGAGACGCCGCTCTGGCAAGGGCAAGGGGGGCAAGGGCGCGGGTGGAGCTAGCGGGGGTGGTGGAGGTGGCTGTGGAGGCGGCGGAGGGAGTGGGGGTGGCGGTGGGAGTGGTGGCGGGGGTGGAGGTGTCGGTGGCAGCAGTGGAGGCGAAGGCGGCGGAGGCGGTAGCGGTGGTAGCGGAGGCGACGGTGGTGGCGGAGCTGGAGGAGGCGGTGGTGGAGGAGGTGGAGCTGGTCGGGGTGGCGCTTCGCAGCGGAGCAACTCGGGTGGTGGTCAGCGCCAGCAGCAGCAGCAGCAGCGTTCTCGGGACATCCCCACCCCTCAGCAGCTCCGTGAGTGGTACGCGCAGCGTGAGCGTGGTGGGGGTTTTGGTCCGTGCACCTACGTCCTTCGCTCCGGCGACCGCGCGGGTGAGCAGTGTGGGGGTGCCCACCCCACCCAGCGCTGCTTTGGCCGCCTAACGGACGCTTGGCGTCAGCAGTTCCTGGAGGGTAGTGAGATCCCCCGCTGGGGAGAGCTGTCTAGGGCAGGTGTAGCTATCTATGATCTTGACTTTGATGCTATCCTTGCTGCCATGTATGCTGTGACTATTAGTGATGAGGGTGACTGTTACCGGTGTTTCCCGCCCGACCCGGGCATTGCTACTGCTGCTCTAGGTGCTGGTGAGGCTGCTGCTCTAAGTGCCAGTGTGTCTGCGCCCTCAGGTGCTGGTGAGTCTGCGTTCTCAGGTACCACGTCGGCTTCGGCCTCCCTCACCTTCACACTTGACTCAGGGGCTTCTCGCTCCTTCTTTCGAGATCACACCACACTCACGCCGCTTGGTCGCCCGGTTGCAGTCTCCCTGGCTGACCCCTCTGGGGGTCCTGTCCTCTCTCACTTCTCCACTGTCCTCCCGTGTCCGGCTGCCCCCTCTGGCACCTTGTCTGGTCTTTACCTCCCCTCGTTATCTACAAACTTGGTGAGTGGTGCTGACTTGCAGGATGCGGGGGTTCACCAGTTTACTCCTGCGAGTCAGCGGGTGACCCACTGCTCGGACGCTCGCATAGGCCGGCACCTGGCCACGTTTACGCGTCGGCCGGGGTCGAGCCTCTACACCCTGACCACTGGGTAACCTCCTGTCCCTGCGTCTGGCCAGGTAGCTGCGTCGGGTCAGGTGTTTGCTGCAGCGTCCAGGTCTGGTCCTGAGTCTGCCCCCTGCTCGTGTCGCCTCCTGTCTCATGAGACTCTCCTGTGGCACCACCGTCTTGGTCACCCCTCCCTGCCTCGTCTCCGAGGCATGGCTTCCCGTGTCCTTGTCTCTGGTCTTCCCCAGTCTCTCCCTCCCCTTCCGTCGGGGCCTGGTCCTTCCTGCGTCCCCTGTGTCGAGGGGCGGCTATGGGCTGCCCCTCACTCCTCTCAGTTTCCCCCGACAGAGGCCCCACTGCAGACGCTTCACATGGACGTGTGGGGCCCGGCTCGCGTCCGTGGACAGGGTCACGAGCGCTACTTTCTGCTGGTGGTTGACGACTACTTGCGTTTCACCACAGTCTTCCCCTTGCGCAGCAAGGGTGATGTCACTGAGGTGTTGATCGACTGGATCCACGCAGCTCGTCTCCAGCTCAGGAGGAGCTTCGGCTCGGACTTTCCTGTTCTGTGTCTGCACTCTGACCGAGGCGGAGAGTTCTCCTCTGGCCTTCTGCGAGCCTACTGCCGTGCGCGAGGCATCCGCCAGACCTTTACGCTTCCGAACTCTCCACAGCAAAATGGGATTGCTGAGCGCCGCATTGGCATGGTCATGGACATCGCTCGTACGTCCATGTTGCATGCGGCTGCCCCCCATTTTCTGTGGCCGTTTGCGGTTCGGTACGCGGCGCATCAGATCAACCTTCAGCCCAGGGTCTCCATGCCGGAGACCTCCCCAGCTTTGCTGTGGACGGGGAAGGTCGGCGATGCGTCTGCGTTCCGTGTCTGGGGATCTCGGGCGTTTGTCCGCGACTTGTCTGCGGACAAGCTGTCCCCTCGTGCTGCTCCCTGTGTCTTCCTTGGCTTCCCCCCTGACGCCCCAGGGTGGCAGTTCTAGCACCCCACCTCTCCTCGTGTTTTGTCCTCCCAGGACGTCACGTTCGACGAGTTTGTCCCCTACTACCGCCTCTTCCCCTACCGCACTCCTTCCCTCCCCCCGCCACCGCACTTCCTTGTGCCAGGTCCCCCCCCGGTAGACCCCCTCCCCCCTCAGGGTCCTGCCCCTTCAGGTGTGTCCCAGGTAGACGCAGTCGAGCCGGTCGAGGTTGCTGGTGACTCTGGTACTGCTGCGGGTGCTGAGCCTGGGGGTGCTGACTCTGGGGGTGCTGCGCGAGTGGGTGCTGAGCGTGGGGGTGCAGAGCCTGGGGGTGCTGTGACTGGGGGTGCTGAGCCTGGGGGTGCTGCGACTGGGGGTGCTGAGCCGGGGGGTCCTTTGCCTAGGGGTGCTGTGCCTGGGGGTACTATGTCAGGAGCTGCTGAGCCTAGGGGTGCCACGTCTGGAGCTGCTGAGCCTGGGGGTGCGAAGCCGCGGGCCGCTAGACTTGCTAGTGTGGCGTCAGGCGGTGCTGGGCCTGGAGATTCTCCGGGTGCTTCGTCTCGGCGGGAGCCACTCTCTCCACAGGAGCTGCGCAAGTGGTTTGCCCGGCGGTGGAGGCGTACTACTCGAGCTGGAGCTTCTTCGGCTACTGAGGGTGCTGGTGCCGCCGGTCCCGGAGGTGCTCGTCATGGGAGTGCTGGAGCTGCTGGGCCTGCAGGTACGACTGGAACTGGAGCCGGTGAGGGTGTTGGCGCTGAGGCTACTGCTGTCAGTCCTGGCGGTGGTCCTGCTGTGGGTGCTGCTGGTGCTGCTGGAGGTCCTGCACCTGGAGTTGCTGTTGGGGCTGGTGCTGCCGCTGAGGGTGCTGGTCCTGTCCGTGCTGTGTCTGGAGTCGCCGCCCGGCCTCGGCCATACTTCGTTCCGCTCCTTCAGCACGTTCTTGGTCTTCCTCCTCCCTTAGAGTGTCCACCGCCTGTCCAGTCACAGTCACAGTTACCGCCGGCCTCCCCGCTGCCTGGTCCTTCTCCCTACACTGGTCCTACTGGAGGTCTTGCTGAGCGTCGTGAGCCTGCGTCTCATCCTGCGTCGCGTGTTTGTGCTGCTCGCCCTAGTGGTCGCGGTTCGCGTCAGCGTCCTCCTCCTGTCCCTGGCACGCACCGGATGTCTCTGCGTCCGTCCACTGCTCCTCTGCGTAGAGGGTCCCTACTCCTCTCAGTGGCAGGCAGCTATGGATGCAGAGATGGCTTCCTGGAAGTCCACATGCACCTACGTTGACGCGGTTCCCCCACCAGGGGCGAACATCGTGAGTGGCATGTGGATCTTCAGGGTGAAGCGGCCGCCAGGTTCTCCACCTGTCTTCAAGGCGCGGTACGTGGCTCGTGGCTTCAGTCAGCGGCAGGGAGTTGATTACTTTCAGACCTTCTCTCCCACCCCAAAGATGACCACTCTTCAGGTGCTGCTGCACATAGCCGCTCAGCGTGACTACGAGCTTTACTCCCTTGACTTCAGCACTGCTTTCTTGCAGGGTAGCCTGCACGAGGAGATCTGGCTGCGCCGTCCACCTGGCTTCACCGGGACTCTTCCTCCTGGCACCCAGTGGAGCCTCCAATGGCCAGTCTACGGTCTCCGCCAGGCACCGCGTGAGTGGCACGACACACTGAGGACTACGCTTGCGGCTCTTGGGTTTGCTCCCTTTACTGCCGACCCGTCGCTGTTTCTACGCACCGACACGTCTTTGCCGCTGTTCTACATCCTCGTGTACGTCGACGACTTGGTCTTTGCCACTGCTGACACTGCTGGACTCGCCCACGTGAAGTCCGAGCTGCAGAAGAGACACACGTGCACAGACCTGGGTGAACTGCGCAGCTACCTTGGCTTGCAGATCACTCGGGACAGAGCACACCGCACCATTACCTTGAATCGGTCACACATGGTGCAGCAGGTCCTTCAGCGCTTGGGCTTCACGTACTCCTCACCTCAGGCCACTCCTCTGCCTACTCGCCACTCGCTCTCAGCTCTGCCTTTGGATGAGTCCGTAGAGTCGAGTGGCCCGTACCCAGAGCTTGTTGGCTGCCTCATGTACCTGATGACCTGCACACGACTTGACCTTGCATACCCTCTTAGCATTCTTACACGCTATGTTGCTCCTGGAAGACACAGACCAGAGCACATGGCTGCAGCGAAGAGGGTGTTGCGCTACTTGTGCAGTACGTCGGGCATGGGGCTAGTGCTTGGAGGGCGCAGTCCAGTGGTCCTCACTGGTCATGCAGACGCTTCTTGGGCTGATGACCAGGCTACACAGCGATTGTCACAGGGTTACACCTTCAGCCTTGGTTCCGGCTCTGATTCGTGGTGGGCTACTCGCTCGTCTTCTGTTCTCAACTCCAGTTGTGAGGCTGAGATCTACGCCGGAGCCATGGCTGCTCAGGAGCTACGCTGGCTCACCTACCTGTTGACTGACCTCGGAGAGCCGCCTCGTTCTCCTCCAGTGCTGTACGTAGACAACAAGGCCATGCTGGCCTTGTATCGGGAGCAGTGCCTAGAGCACAGAACGAAGCACATTGCTCTCCGCTACTTTCTTGCTCGTGAGCTGCAGCAGCGTGGTCAGTTGCGACTTGCGTACGTGGCCTCTGAGGCCAACACTGCTGATATCTTCACTAAGGCTCTTGCGCCTTGTGATCATCAGCGCTTCTGTACTCAACTTGGTCTTGTGCCTGTCTTGCCTCACTTGCTCACTTCTTGACCTTGCTTGTACTGTCACATTTATATATATACTCCTGCTCTTACTTGTTTAGCCTTTTATATATATATGTGTGCTCCTGCATGTGAGCTGGCTGTCTGGCCTTGAACTTGTGCTCGGAATGTGTGGTGACTTTGTGATCCACCCTGAGCTTTGCTTTGCTTTGCTTGACTGGTCTTGTGACCCTTTGTTCTCCCCCACTTTGCCTATGGGGGTGTGTCAGATTTGTATTACATAGCTATTGTAGGCTATAGTGGGGTAGCACATATGGGGTACAGCTTTCTAGGGTTGTATTTGTACCCAACTTTCATTTAGTCATTTCATTCTCGTTTCAGTTTTCTCAACTTCCACTCCTGTATGGTCTTGATTTACGCCGGGTCGATTTTAATGCCGTCGCGTGAGATGACGTGCCTTAAAAACTCCAACTCCTGCTTAAAATACTCGCACTTAGAGCCCTTGGTGATGAGTCGGTTCTCCTGCAGCCGCTTAAACACTGCATCCAGGTCACGGAGGTGCTGCTCCCGTGTCTTGCTAAAAATGAGGATATCGTCCAAGTAGACGATGACGCACCGGTCTAGAAGATCCCGAAAAACCCTGTTCATGGCCAGTTGAAAAGTTGAGGGCGCATTTGTGAGGCCGAAAGGCATCACCGTAAATTCGTAACTCCCGTTGCGTGTGCGAAACGCAGTCTTGTGACAGTCGTCGGCGAAGACTCGAATGTGGTGGTAACCGCCACGTAAGTCAATCTTTGAGAAATTTCGAGCGCCGCGAAGTTGGTCGAGGAGGTCGTCGGTGGTGGGATTGGGTAGCGAGATTTGATGGTGACCCGGTACAGCGCACGATACATATGCGAAGCCCGCCGTCCTTCTTCAGGGTGAACAGAATCGGTGCTGCGAAAGGAGATGTACTGGCCCGAATGAACCCTTTCTCCAAGTGCGTCAATTTGTCGTCGCAGCTCCTCGAGTTCTGGCTGGGTCAGCCGCCACTGTGTCCAAACAGTTGGCTGCGCGCCAGGTTCCAGCTGGATTTTGTGGTCCTCAGGTCTCTCCGGTGGCAGTCCAGGTGGCAGATCGTCGGGGAAGATGTCCGGGTACCTCCGAATCAGCTCCGCTAAATCCGGTGGTACAGCTGCACACAACTTCTCGATGTCCTTTCCTTCCATGTCAACCGCCAACTCGCGTAAGCAAACAGCAAACAGTTGCGCGCCTCTGTTGAAGTGGCGAGCGATAGTGATAGCTTTAACGCACGGGGTTTGGATGTAGTCAGGCGTCCATGCAGGGAGTTTAATTAACCCCTTGTGCTTGTTGACGCTGCACGATCCCGTTGTCCAGTCGATGACGGGGTTGTGTCGTCGCAGCCAATCACGTCCCAGCAGCACGTCGCAGCCGTCCAATGTTGTCGCGAGAAACTTCATGCTGGAGCCGAAATCGTCGCCGCATTCGATCCTGACCGTCCTTGCTTCTTCCGTTATCGCCAGAGGCGTCCCATCCACAAGGCGGGCGTCAATTTCGGGCAGACACCAGTCAAGTTGCAGCTTGCATTTTTTTGCGCTCGCCAGGTTGAAGAGGCTATGACTGGCCCCTCCATCGACGAACATTTTTAAGCTATTTTTTAACACCTTGCCAGCGACCAGCACATGGTGATCCACATGTGTATCCCCGTTATTCGGCCGAGTACGATCGATTGCATGAATCGGAACAACGACTCGGTGGGGATAGTGGGGTTCGGGCGACGGAGCACAGTCAGTAAAGGGCCTGCTAATTACTGACTCTTCCCATTTCCCTGCTCCTTCCTGTCGTTCCCCGTCAGCGGCGTTTTCTCGTGGCAGTCTTTCATGTAGTGACCCGTCTTTCCACACCGGTAACACGGTCCCTTAGGAGGGCGGTCGGGTGTATGGCCGGCGTTGATCGTGGCCCGATGGGTCTGGCCACAAAAGTGGTTTCCCTCCCGGGAAGCTGCTCTCGCGTACTGCATCAGCGCATCTGTGGATTCCGCCAACTTAACTGATGCAAGGAATGACGTCGGACGGCCCCTGCAAACCTCGTACTGTTACGAAGAAGAAGTGATTGAACTATGAAAGTTGGAGTACAAGTAGGTAACCCTAACTTTGTGTACCCCCTAAAGGCTAACCCACTAAAGCCTACACAATAATAACACATCTAGTGTGTGACACACCCCCATAGGCAAAATGGGGGAGAGCAAGGGGTCACAAGACCAGTCAAGAAAGGCAAGCAAGCTCAGGGTGGATCACAACGTCACCACACACTCACAAGCAAAGGGCCACATGGCCAGTTCACATGCAGAGGTATATATAAGTGGTACACACAGCAAGGGTGATCTCAACCTAGCAGAACAAACAGGTAGGAGTATATATATAGAGATCACAGTACAGGCAAAGCCTACAACAAGTGAGACAGTGTGGGCACTAGCCCCAACAAAGTACAGAAGCGCTGATGATCACCAGGCTGAAGTGCCTTGGTGAAAACATCAGTGGTGTTGGCTTGAGAGGCCACGTAGCGCAGACAAAGCTGACCACGCTGTTGAAGCTCACGAGCAAGGAAGTAACGGAGAGCGATGTGCTTCATTCTCTGCTCCAGTCTGTGCTCCTGACACAAGGCAATGGTAGCCTTGTTGTCGACGTACAGCACCAGAGGAGAACTAGGCCGCTCTCCAAGGCCGGTCAGCAGGTAGGTGAGCCAACGTAACTCCTGTGCAGCCATGGCTGTGGTGTAGATCTCACCCTCACAACTGGAGCTGAGAACCAAAGACGAACGAGTAGAGCGCCACGAAATTGAACCAGAGCCAAGGCTGAAGGTGTAACCCTGTGATGACCGATGAGTAGCCTAGTCGTCAGCCCAAGAAGCGTCTGAGTACACTGTGAGAACAATTGAGCTCCCTCCTCCAAGCACGAGCCCCATGTCTTATGTACTGCACAAGTAGCGCAATACCCTCTTTGCAGCATCCCAGTGCACCTTTCGATGACAACCAGGAGCCACGTAGCGAGCCAGAAGGCCAAGAGGGTATGCTAGGTCAGGACGAGTGCAAGTCATCAGGTACATGAAGCAACCAACTAGCTCTAGGTAAGGACCACTCAACTCTACGGACTCATCCAAAGGCAGAGCTGAGAGCGAGTGACCTATAGCCAGAGGAGTGGCTTGTGCTGAGGACCAGGTGAAGCCGAAGCGCTGAAGGACCTGTTGCACCATGTGTGACAGAGTCAGGGTAATGGTGCCGCGTGCTCTGTCCCGGGTTATCTGCAAGCCAAGGTAGCTGCGCAGTTCACCCAGGTCTGTGCATGTTTGTCTCTTGTGCAGCTCCGACTTCACGTGGGCGAGAGACTCAGTGTCAGTAGTGGCAAAGACCAAGTCGTCGATGTACACGAGGATGTAGAGCGGCGGCAGCGAAGTGTCGGTGCGTAGAAACAGCGACGGGTCAGCAGTAGAAGGAGAGAACCCAAGTGCCGCAAGAGTAGTCCTCAGTGTGTCGTGCCGCTCACGTGGCGCCTGGCGGAGACCGTAGACTGGCCGGCGGAGGCTCCAGTGGGTACTAGGAGGGAACGACCCAGTGAAGCCAGGAGGGAGGCGCAGCCAGATCTCCTCGTGCTGACTGCCCTGCAAGAAAGCTGTGCTGAAGTCAAGAGAGTGAAGCTCGTAGTCACGCTGAGCAGCGACGTGCAGCAGAACCCGAAGAGTGGTCATCTTCAGGGTCAGGGAGAAGGTCTGGAAGAAGTCAACTCCCTCTCGCTAACTGTAGCCTCGAGCAACGTAACGCGCCTTGAAGACAGGCGGAGAACCCGGCGGCCGCTTCACCCTGAAAATCCACATGCCACTGACGATGCTCGCTCTAGGTGGGGGAACCTCACTGACGTAGGTGCCTGTGGACTTCCAGGAAGCCATCTCTGCGTCCATGGCTGATTGCCACTGTGAGGAGTAGGGACCCTCGATCGCCTCAACGTACGATCGAGGAGTCGGGATGTCTGGTGCATCCGGTCTCTCTCAGGGGCAACTAGCATGGACACGAGATGGGGTGCAGCGGCTGCAAGACACTCAAGATCCTCCTGTCTGTTCTGAAGGACGTCCGTGGTAAGAGCACACTCACCCCCGACAGACGGAGGACAGACAGACTCAGACTCAGCGACAAGACTGGCATGCCGGCCGATTCCCCTTTTCCGCCCCCAATTACCCTCCTGCCGGCCGATTTCCCTTTCTCGCTGCCCAGTACTCATTTCCGCCCTTTTCCCCTTCTCGTCGCCCATTCTCCCCTTCCTGTGTCCCATTTTTCCCTTTCCGTCTCCCTTTCTCCCCTTCCCGCCTCCCTTCTATCCCTTCCCTCCTTTCAGTGCCTTCTCTCCCTTCCCTCCCTTCTCTCCCTTCCCTCCCTTCTCTCCCTTCCCTCCCTTTTCTCCCTTCCCTCCCTTCTTTCCCTTCTCTGCCTTCCCTCCCTTCCCTCCCTTCCCTCCCTTCTCTCCCTTCTCTCCCTTCTCTCCCTTCCCTGCCGTCCCTCCCTTCTCTCCTTTCCCTCCCTTCTCTCCCTTCCCTCCCTTCCCTCCCTTCTCTCCCTTCTCTCCCTGTTGGAAGTAAAGGGAAGAAAAGGTGTGATCACTATCCAGAGAGTTGGGTACAAGTAACAAAAACCTATACCCTACATTAGCTACCCCACTAAAGCCAACATATTATTATAACATAGACATATAGTTTGACACACCCCCATAGGCAAAGTGGGGGAGAACAAGGGGTCACAAGACATGTCAAGAAATGCAGAGCAAGCTCGGGATGGATCACAACGTCACCACACATACCGAGCACAAGCAGAGGGCCACAAGGCTAGTTCACATGCAGAGGTATATATGCAACAACAGCAGTACAGTGATCATTACCTAACAAGAGTAAGCATGCAGATAGACATATCTAGATCACAGTACAAGCAAAGCCTACATCAACTGAGGAAACCTAGGCACAAGACCTAACAAACAGGGCTTCAGATTCGTTTTGGGGCACACTTTGTAATCAGGGTAGTAGGTGTAGTCAAGTATGATGTCTAGGGTATAAAAAAAAAATCCCTGACAAAGGCAGGGTAATTTTTTTTTTGGCCTGACGAAGGCAGGGTAAAATCTTCGTTACGCTGAAACATTCAGAGTAATTTTGGCCTTACACTGATTTCACCAGCGAGTCTATTTTCGCCCCATGAGTTCACATTACATAATCACAATGTGCAATGCACCAGCTACATAATCCCTTGCACACATTCCAGCATCTGCAACTACTACTCATTCGCCAACAGGGTCAGAGGACTCTTGAACGGCTTCAGCGAAAATAGCCTCGCCCGGGTTTGTGCCACTGAAGTCCTTAGTCGCTCTCCGCAGCTTCTCTCCCCTGAAGATGGACACCACCTCGTACCAGTCCACGTCGTACTGTAGCAGGGAACAGCGCATCAAATGCTCCAGGGTGATGTCCGATATGCTGCCACGGTCCCACGTCTTGATCAAATTCTGCTTGCTGAACTCCCTCTCACACTCGACCGTGCTCAGCGGTAGGACGGCAACTGCCTGCCACATCTTCATCAAGTTCGGGAACGAGTGCTGCGAGTCGTTGTCACGAAGCATGTTCCCGAGTGCCTGGTGAAAGTCCTCATTGTTGTGTTGAGAGTACATTGTTGAGGTGAACATCCAGAGCTCGCTCTGTGCTCTGGTGTAGTCAAATCGTGTTGTACGGGTATGGGTTTTCACGGGGCTATACTCGCAACAATCGGGTGGAAGGGTGAGGATTAAAAAAACAATCCAGGAGATACACAAGCGATCAGACGAGTAGTTATGAGAGTGTGCCGATCGTTACGACGGAATAAAGCAGAAGCAGATGGGAAAACAACGCTGAAGGGAATGGGTCAAAACAGTCAGGCACACACCATGAGGTCTACGAGCATACCTGGAAGCTTCATCCTGTAGAGCTTGTGCAGTTGAGCCAACCATTTTTTTAAGTTTTCCACACGTTTGGCGTCGTCAGGTACGTATGAGGCTGACCGAAATAGCTTACACCCCTCCAACTCCTCGAGGTCTTTCATCCGCCACTCCAGCTCCTTGTCGACAGCACGCACAAACTTCAGCAATAGCTCGAAACAAGTCGTTACATCTCCGTCCGTCTCCTGCCCTTCGATGGGATTCTCGTGCAACGCATAGCTGAATTCCACAGGGTTGCCGTCACTGTCCATGCCCTCTGCCTTCACCTCCCGCTTGTCCATCTTCTGATGACGCTGAATGAAGTCGTTCAGTGTCATCTTCTCTCCACTCCCTAAGTGATGATCGGGCTCAAAGTTTATGTACCGGTTCTTGATGCGCATCCGTGTCTGGTCCACGAGATGAGACACGAGCGTGACGTCGATTTGTTCAGACAGTACAGATGACAGGGTTAGCGACACACCTTTCTGGGCGTAAGCAGTCTATATACTTAAGATTCGTTTACCTGCCGTTGCTGGAACCGTTGGTTCAGATGGTTCAGCTCCCACAACACGTCAGCAAGCAGCCGGAGCAACCACTGAGACTTGAACGACGTGGCGATCTCGTACAGGTCGTTGTTGTGCTCTTTGAGCACCACGATGGCTGCAGGCAGGATCTCGAAGAAGCGTCAGACGGCCTCACCACGTGACAGCCAGCGAATGGTGTGTATACCTTGTGCCTCCAGGTTCGTCTTGCAGAAAACATGCTGAATGTTATGAAACTTCTTGTACTTGACGTTGGATCGCGAGATGAGATCTGCAAAGCCACGGATGACGTCGTCAACCATGTAAAGTTCAGGCACAGCATCCGCAGCATCGCTTGCGGCTAGAGCCTCCCTGCCAAGTAATCAAAGTACGAGTTGTGAGTAATGAAGTTAAGAATGGTGCATCGCTTTCCCACCGAGTGCATGGAGAGACACTCACCGATGAGCGACACAGTGCGTGGAGGCGAGGTGCGGGATCCTCATGCGCAGACGGGCGACAACCCCGCTGTTCTTGCCTGTCATGACACTAGCGCCGTCCGTTCAAATGGCAGAGATCTTCTGTAGATCCAAGCCAATCCCTGTCATGTACTGCACCACAGCAGAGGTCAGAGAGGCTGCATCAGCATGGTCAACAGTGATGAGAGTTATGAACTCGTTGACCACACCCGTGCCATGGAAAAAAGTAGCGTAAACGATTAGATGTTTGCCGTGGATTCGGTCTGTGCTCTCGTCTAGTGACAAGCCAATCCAAGGCGACTCCAGCAAGTGCGATCGTTGCAGTTTTTGTAGGTACGTTGAGATGGCTCGGAGATTCTCTCTGAAGCCATATCTGCACATAACAACAGATAACAACATCAGTATATGTGAATATCACCCATGGCTACCATTTATAAAACAAGCGCTTACTCAGTGTAGTAGGCGCCATATCTGCCACCGTTCGGAAGGTCTGGAAGGCCTTCCTTTGCCAAGAACCAGCAGAGCGGGATGAACATCGAGATCGGTGCATCCGCCCTGCAGATAAAAAGCGCAATATGAAGCACGCGAATGATGTGACGCATAGACGCGTCAGTTGACTGCCACCGTGTTAGTTTCGCCTGTTTCTCCTTCTCAGCTGCAGCTTCTTCTTGGATCTTGACCGCGCTCTTGTGGGCTCGTGTTGAGGAATGGGCCCGGACGCTTCCTATCTGCAGGTCGCGGCCACCTTCACCTCTCACACCGTAGCTAGTGTGAGCTGCGGGGTCGCCATGCTGCACACAAATGTCACACTTGAGTTTTGCTTCTCCGTTAGGCATCCGAATAAGATGCAACCACTTGAATTTACCTGCCACTCCGTCTCAAACCGATGCTTTCTGGTCTCGTAGACAACGTCACCGGTAGTTTTAACGGGCGCCTCGTTTTGGGTCGCTACTGGACGTTGCGGTGAAGCTTCTTTGCGGGGTGGCGGGGCTCCTCATAGCCGCTGCTGCGTGAACTTCGTTCCCACACGCGGGCGTTTCCCCGGGGTGCTGCTCACAGTGGACGGTGAAGCCGCGGAGGGTCTAGACAAACCTCCACCACCGCCTGGCACGAGAACAATTGACGGGTGCGGCTCCCAGCCAGCAGGAGTCGACGGCGGCTCGAATGGGTATACAATACCCACACTACGCACGGGAGAAGCGGGTGGTGGCAACGGCGAGATGGGCACGCTGTATGTCTCAGAAGGGGGAGGAATAACTTTCAGCATAGAAAGGCCATTACGCACTACCGTAGGAGATTGAGGAGTTTGCTCGGCGAGCATGACTACCACATGTGAGAGACCTCCCAGTGGGTGGTTCTCACAATGAGGGTATGAGAAGGATGAGACAAGATGGGGTGTTCTTGGGATAACGACCCACTCCTCCAACACCCGTGATGACCCCGGAGCGCGTAATTGCATGGCTCGCGGTGGTCACTTGTGGCTGCCAGGGTGTGTTCTGTTCAGCACGAAAGGAGGATGGCAGCCCCGCTGTCCTGTCGGCGCGCTACTAGACAAGTCTGGCAATTGTCAAATGCTGCTCTGGCCTTGATTCTGTGTTGCGCTGGCATGGTGGCTGCCTGTTCCACCAATGTTGTACTTTCGTAGCAGGACGCGTGGAAACTCCGCGTGACTCCACCTGGGGGTGATATTGTTTTTTTGTGACTGGTGGTCTTGTTGTCCGTTTCGCATTCTGTTAAGTTTTGAAATCCTCGCTTGCAAGAAATCCGTATCAGTGTAACTGAAAAATTACCCTGTACAGTCAGGGAAAAATTTGTGGCACGCTGTATTTCAAAGGGAAAAACAAATACACTTAATGGCCTAGGGTAAAAATCCCACTACCCTGCCTGGGAAAGGTTAACTGAAAAAAAGAGGCCGCCAGTCAGTGCAAAAAGGGTATTTTACACTGATAACAAGAGGCCTGCTAACAAAGTACAAAAGCGCTGATGATCACCAGACAGAAGTGCCTTGGTGAATATATCAGCAGTGTTGGCCCGAGTGGCCACGTGAACAAGACGAAGCTGACCACGCTGCTGCAACTCTCGAGCCAGAAAGTAACGCAGAACGATGTGCTTTATCTGTGCTCCAGTCTGTGCTCTTGACACAAGGCAATGGTGGCCTTGTTGTCTACGTACAGAACTGGAGGAGAACGAGGTTGCTCTCCCAAGTCAGTTAGTAGGTAAGTGAGCTAGCGTAACTCGTGTGCACCCATGGCTGTGGCGCAGATCTCAGCCTCACAACTGCAGTTGAGAACAGAAGACGAGCGTGTAGACCGCCACGAAACAGAGCCGGAGCCAAAGCTGAAGGTGTAACCATGTGACGACCGCTGCGTAGCCAGGTAGTCAACCCAAGACGCGTCCGAGTGCCCAGTGAGGATAACGTCACCTCGTCCTCCAAGCACGAGCCCCATGCCCAATGTACTGCACAAGTAGCGCAGTACCCTCTTAGCAGCATCCATGTGCACCTTTCGGTGTCTACCAGGAGCCACGTAGCGAGCCAGAAGGCCAAGAGGGTACGCAAGGTCAGGATGAGTGCAGGTCATCAGGTACATGAGGCAGCCCACTAGCTCTGGGTACAGACCACTCGGCTCTACGGACCCGTCCAAAGATGGAGCTGAGAGCGAGTGCCCTGTAGCCAGAGGAGTGGGCTGTGGCGAGGACAAGGTGAAGCCGAAGCGCTGAAGGACCTGCTGCACCATCTGTGACTGAATCAATGTGATGGTGCGGCGTGCTCTGTCCCGGGTGATCTGCAAGCCAAGGTAGCTGCGCAGCTCACCCAGGTCTGTGCACGTGTGTCTCTTCTGCAGCTCCGACTTCACCAGAGCGAGAGCCTCAGTGTCAGCTGTAGCAAAGACCAAGTCGTCAACGTACACGAGGATGTAGAATGGGGGCAGCGAAGTGTCAGTGCGCAGAAACAGCAACGGGTCAGCAGTGGAAGGGGCGAACCCAAGAGCCGCAAGCGTCATCCTCAGTGTGTCGTGCCACTCACGAGGTGCCTGACGGAGACTGTAGACCGGTCGCCGGAGGCTCCACTGGGTATGAGGAAGGAACGACCCAGTGAAGCCAGGTGGGCGGCGCAGCCAGATCTCCTCATGCAGACTGCCCTGTAAGAAAGCTGTGCTGAAGTCGAGAGAGTGAAGCTCGTAGTCACGCTGAGTGGCGACGTGCAGCAGCACCCGAAGAGTGGTCATCTTCGGGGTGGGGGAGAAGGTCTGGAAGAAGTCAACTCCCTGTCGCGGACTGAAGCCTCGTGCAACGTAACGAGCCTTGAAGACAGGCGGAGAACCCGGTGGCCGCTTCACCCTCAAAATCAACATGCCATCGATGATGTTCGCCCCATGAGGGGGAACCTCATCGCCAAAAGTGCCTATGGACTTCCAGGATGCCATCTCTGCGTCCATGGCTGTCCGCCACTAAGAGGAGTACTCACCCGCGATCGCCTGAGCGTAAGAGCGCGGGGTCGGGATGTTTGGTGCATCCGGGTCTCCCTCAGGGGCAAGCGGCATGGCCTCGAGATGAGGTACAGCAATCGCAAGACACTGGGCGCGGTTCATCCCTGAGATCGACTGGGTCAACCCGAAAACGTGCATCTACAACAACGGGAAACAAGTGGAGCTGCGAAGATGGACGGATAGGAATGTTCCTCAGAACGTGAACAACAATTCCTAGGCTTCGCCAATTACTACAACAGGTTTGTGCCACAGTACGCTAAGACAGCAGCGCCACTGACCGACCTCCTAAAAGGATACGCCCTACAAATGGGATACCCCTCAACAGCAAGCCATGGAGCAGCTACAGACAGCACTGACTACAGCGCCACTACTCATCCTACCGGATCCAGACAGAAACTACGTGGTGGAAGCATACGCTAGTGACCAAGCAGTCGGAGAAGTACTAATGCAGCATCACGGACGCAGTTTCCAGCCCATCGCCTACCTCAGTAAGAAGCTGTTACAGTGGGAGAAGGACTTAGCTGTAAGAAAGGGATCAGGGAAGATTTGGGTACCGAAATATGCCCCGTTCTGACAGATTTTGCTGGAGGAGTTTCACGACGTACTGTACGCGGGATATTTCGGGAGCAACAAGACGTTACCAGGGATAGCGAAGTATTACTACCGGCCCGGGATGGCAGCAGACGTGCAGCACTTCGTTGCCTCATGCGACACGTGCCAGCGGATGAAGAGCAGCAAGCAGAATAAGGCAGGGTTACTTCAGTCTCTACCCGTACCGGAGCAGTCATGGCAGGTGGTTAGGCTCGACTTCATCACA